TAAAAAATTATTTAAAATTTTAAAAGAAAAGTTGAAAAAAATTCTTTTTAAATAATTTATAAGAAAATTTTCACTATTAATTTCAGGACAAATCCGATATATCAATTTAATATCAACGAAGGTTATACTGAAACTAAATTCTCTTTTTTGCGTCAGATTTAAAAGTTTCGAAAATTACATATTTAAAATTTCCTATATCTTTAAAGATTGTACATTACTATTATAAGATTTAATGTTCTTTCTTCAAACATATTTTACAAAACTGTTATACAAAACTTTTCAATATTTTGAGTGCTTCTGGTGAATGGTAAAAGGTAAGCGATCTCAAATATATGTAGATTCACAAGCATATTATTGTATCACAAAACATTTAAATGTTGTATAACACTTTTGTTCAAACATTTTGTATAGAATTCCAATTACAACAAAATAAATTGATTAAATCAAAATAATTAAACTTAAACTCATAAAAAATAATGTTCTAACAATAACAATAAAAAAATTCATTCTGATTTTATTCACAATCAAGTGTTCAAAATTTCTGGACCAAATTACTTACCATCTCCCATTAAGATTCGTATTTTTAACTTAAATAATTTTGATTAAGTTAATCTACACCTAAATTGTAGATATAAATAAAATTATACTATAATTTTATGAGAAATGAGTTGTAACGATATCAGTTTGAAGCCCAGTTATTTGGAATAACTTTTGATATACATATACTTAATCGCATATAGGTCCTACATATTCAACATTATGAATGAAAATTTTACTTGCAAGCACACTTTTTATTTGGTGTGATATTAATAGATTTTAACATTATATTATTATAAAATTAAATTATAAAAGAGATTAAATGAAAAACAAAAAAAACATTAAGAAATTTTAAAAATAGTATTTTTGATCTTTGTGTACACATACTAAGTATGCATACACTATACTCATACCTATATATGTAGGTATGCATGCATATTTTTGGTACAATCGTCAAAATGTTTATTTTGAATTTTCATTGAAAAAGAAAAAATAAAACAATAATATTAAAATTTGTATAATAGTTTACTAGCGCAATGTACCCTGAGATTTATAAATGAAATGAACTTTTATATAATTTACTACAATATTAAATATACATACATAATATTGATTTTCTTTTCATTAATTTTATTTAAAGTTGAATAATTTATTAATTTCAATTTTTTAGTGCAATAATATTATATGAAATATGGCAGAGATTTTTATTATGCAAATAATGACGCAAAAATAAAAGAAGAAATAAGAGTTCATTGCTCTATAAATTTAAATTTCATATATACACAGTATTAAATTGGATGATCTATACATTATGACTAGAATTGAACCTGTTAAATCTATGGAGCTTATTCGGAAGCATATCCAAACAAAATGTATACAGTAGTACAAAATGTCCAAATAAGGGAAATCCAATGGAATGATGCAATTGTAATGAATCAATCATCAATTGGACCTTATATCAAAACGGTGCCATCAAACTTCATACTTACATATAGTTACATAAATAAAAACGTACCAATTTAACAAAATGTCATCATTCATAGAAAAGGGAAAAAGGAATAGCAATTTTCATTTGTAGAAAATGGAATTAGGAATAAGAAGAGGAAAATGAATACTTAAGAACAGAAAAAAAAACATAGATTACTGGGACAGGAAGAAATTTACAAATAATAAATTTTAAATCATAATCAATAATAAATTCAAATTCCTTGAAAATCCAGCCAAAAAATAGTGATCAGTATTTATGCTGAAATCTAAAACTATAAAATTTGAATCAGAGCGACATCCATGTGACAGGATACTTTACTTCCCAGAAATAATTAACTACATTAATTATTATGCCTTAACCAAGCACATTATTTTTTCAAATAAAAAATTAAAAATATAATATTGTAAAACAACTTTCCTTTTAGATTTTTATTATACGTACTTTAATATAAATTTTACAATATTTTGTTTATAATTAAAAATTTAACAAAAATAATTTTATAAAGCACTTAATGTAAAAAAATTATCAATATAATAATTAATATTTTGATCTTTATATAAATTTAATTCATTTATAAATTTCTTTAAAAAATTCTCTTTAATTATAATTTCTTCATTTAATTCTAAATTGATTTTTGTTATTTGTTCATTATTACGTAATCTTATTAACAAATTAACAAATTCTTTTAAATTAAATTCTTTAAAATCATTTTTATATGTTATTATTAAATATTTTAAATTTGTTTGTATTATTAATTGTTCTAATAAATACCAAAATTTTTCATCACATTTTATATAACCATCAAAATGTAATAAATATAATTTTTCAAAAGTTTTTAATATATTAAATCTTTTATGAAAATTATAATGTTTATCATAATCATATAATGAAAAATACATTTTAAATTGTATTAATTGTTTTGTAAAATTTTTTAATATATTATCAAATATTAAACGAAAATCAATACAACGACCACTTTCAATTACTGTTAAACTTTTTAAATTTTCTAATTTATATAAATATTGTAAATTTTCATAACCACCAATAAATGTAACATTAAATTTTAATATTACTAAATTTTTACAATAATTAATTATTTCACCAATTTGTGTATCATTTAATTGATAACAATATTCTAAATCTAAATGTTTTAAATTAATTAAATATTTAAATAAATTTAATAAATTTTTACAACCATTATTACAACATTTTGCTAATTTTAATGTATTTAAATTTATAAAATTTTCTAAATATTTTCCAGTTATATTTTTATTATATGATATATCTAAATATTTTAATTGTAATTTAATTTTTGATTTTGATAATATTTCAATATCCGAATCTAATAAATTTAAATCATTTATTTTTAAATATGTTAAATTTAATAATTTTTCTGTAATTAATATTGTAAATTTATTAAAATTAATTATATCAATTTTAATATCATGAAAATTTTTTATATAATAATTTTGTATTTCTAATTTTTTTAATTTAATACAATTATTTAATATATATTCAAAACATTCATAAAACCAATGTAAATTTTTACCACTTAAATAAACAATAAATTCTTCAATTGTTGGACCCATTATATTTAATGCATATTTTAATTCATCAAATGTTGGCCAATCTAAATTATTATATAATTCTAATATTATACATCGATTACCTTTTAAATATTCTATATAAACATTTTGTAGTCTTTCACATAAAATTAAAAATTTTATTTGATCTTTAAAATTTAAATAATCTAATATTTTATATAAACAATAATCATTTAATATTAATAAAGATGTTGATGATTTATTTTGCATTTTATTATTATCTATTGAAAAATATTTATGATAAAAATATTATATTTTATATTAAATATGTATAAGTAATTATAATTTATAATTTTTAAATTAATTAAAAAAAAAAAAGAGTATATTAATTTGTATTTTAAATTATGCAAATGTAACAATTAATTAACATTAATAATTATTAATTAATAATGTGGTCAATTGGTTCGTTTAAATATAAAAATTAATTTAATTAAGAAAATATTCACTTTAAAAGTAAATTTTAATTATTTATCAATTTCATTATGTAATAATTAATAATAATTGTCTATTTAATAATGAAATTTTTATTATTTTTTTAAATTATATTTCATTATTTATATGTAAAAAATTTTGAATTTTTTTAAATTACTCTTAGCCGTAAACTTATTTAAATTTCTTAAGGCAATATAAATGAATGTATTCTCGGTATCACAGAATAAAACTAAATTAAATTTTTAATTAATATATTTATTTATAAATAAATTTAATTGAATTCTTTTTCTATCATTAGATAAAATTTTCTCATTTTTTAAATTACTTTCATACTTAAAAAATAATAGCAACAAAAGAATTAAAATCAATTAAAAAATGAGATCTTTTGCATTTTAATTGTTTTTTTTTTTTATTGGAATATGTGCCAATCTTATTTGATTGCAATTGAAAATGACCTGTGATACTATTTTAAGTATATAGGGTTACTTAATTTGAAATAAATAAAAAAAATTAGATATTATTATTCTAAATAATAATAATATTAATAATATTAAAATTGAATGCATAAATGTTAAACTCAATTACTTCTATTTAATTACTTTTAGTTTATTTTAATAAATAGTTATTTGTAAGATTTGTTAGATTAGGCCGTAAATAATAGGGGCCGTATTGCACCAACCACTTTTACTTTTAACTTTTAAAAAAAGAATTTTTTTACTAGTGTAGTTTATTAGTATTTGACTCTTTTTGAAACACGAGTTGTCCTAATTAAAGAGAATAAAAAGTGGTTGGTTCAACAGGGCTTAAGTTTATATTATATGCTTCTTCAAAGCTTTTATGCCTATTTTAATTAATTTTTACAAAAAAAAATATCATTTTCTATTAAAAATATTTTAAAAAACATATTAGAAAGCACCTAGTAATTATTTTAAAATTGAGAAGAAAAAAATTAATAGTTTTGGCTGCAATTTGAGTCTCTTACTTTTTTTTATTTAACTAATTTATTATTTTATTTGAACATTATGCTTTAAAGAATAAAAAATAAATCGTCGAAATAGTGATTGACAAATAAACGAACCTTGAAAATAAATTGATAAATTTCAAAAAGAAGGGACAGAAAACAAAAATATAAATAAAAATCTTGTAAATCCTTGGACAGGTATATTTGAAATTAAAGTTTATTAAAGAAAATATGTAATTAATTTATTCGAATCAAACATTATTTTAAAAACATAGAATTTATATGTTTTTTTTTTTTATGAAACAATACCATTAATACCAAATATTTTTTTATTTATTCAAATTTTGTTAGACGAACTGTTACAGATTATAGATAAACTATGTATTGAATTTTAAGTGTAATTAAGGAAACTCAAAATAAAATTTAAATGAAAGACAAATAGAAAATACATAATTTGTTTTAAAACTGAACTTTATTATTTAGGAAATTTCGGTATTCCCGAAAATCTGAAATTACAAATACATTATTTTTAATACTTTCAGCAAATAAAGTACATATATATGTATCGTTTTATAAAGATTATTTTCTTAAAAAAAATTTATATAATATTTGAATTTAAAGTAATTCGGATTTCTCCACATCTTGATTCATCTCGTACTGATTCAAATTCATTGATTTCTTCATCTTCTTCGTATATCATATATCGAAAATGATCATCATATGAAGATCGTACAGTTTTCATAATTAAATTTGATAAATCCTTTGCATTAACATATTTTGGATTCTAAAAAAAAAATTAATTTGTAAATTTGAATATTTCATTATAATTACCAATAATATTTATACATAATTATATTCTTACATTTAATATATCATTTTCAACTTTAGGATTTACTTTAATTTTCATTTTAATCATTGGTTTTGTATTTCCTTTACCATCTAATGTTTCATAGAAATTTTCTAAAAATTCTGGATGTGAAAATCTACCAGAATATTTTAAATTAATTTCATCCAATTTTTTTGCATTTATACAACTTAATATAAAATTATTAAAATCATTTGATGCAAAACCTAAAGCAAAATTTGAATATGTTATATTTAATATTTTTAAATTAGAATTTTCAACAAAATGACGTAATGTATGCCAATCGATAACATAACAACTCAAATATCCAACAAAATGTAATTCTTTTAAATTTTTCATTGTATAAATTGATTCAAATCTAGCCCAGTTTAATCCTTTATCATGATCAAATTGTAAAAAATGAATTTTTAATGATGTCAATTGATTTGATAACATTTTTAATAGATCATTAACAATATTACGTAAACGTCTTGTATCATCAACTGAATTACCACAACTCCAACCTTCTTCTATATGAAGTTCTTTTAATTTTTTCAATTCTGATATCCTTTTTAAACTTTCAGTAGCATAACGTACATAAATTTTTAATGTTTCGATTTCTCCACATGAATCAACTAAAGCGAATATTGCTACAATTTTTAAAAAAAAGTATGTATTTAAAGAATTTGTTTAATTTAAAATGAAATTTATTTTCTAATTTTGTAATTAATCTTATTAAATTACATTTTTATACTTAAATAATGTTCAAATTTACCTGTATGATTGATTTCTGAACAATGTTGTGTATCTAAATGTTTAAGAGATTTCATATTATTAAATATTGCAATAAAATATTTCTCCTTTATTTGATTACATTCGGCAACTTTAAGAGTTTGTAAATTTACAAAATTCTCAATATATTTTCCAGTTAATTTTTGATTTTTTGATATATCTAAATGTTGAATATTTTTTAAATTATTTAATAATTTTATGTCAATATCAATTAGAGAACAAAATTTTAATTCTAAATATACAATATTCTTTAACATTTGTGACATCTGATTTATGTATTTATTAACCGATTGTATACATTCCAATCTTAATTCATATAAATTACAACAATATTCGAGTACAAAATCAATACATAAATAAACTCTTGATAAATTTTCATTATTTTTTGTTATTTGAAAACTTTTTGTTATTGGTCCAATTAATTGAAAAGCATTATATAAATCAGATAAAGACCAATATTTATAATTTAAATCCAATGTATACATTTTGTCATTTTTAAATTGAGTAAATAATATTGTTCTAAAACGTCGATTTAATGATGCAAATAAAATTTGATCACGAAATGTTAAATAATTAAAAATTTTAATTAATGAATATTCATCTAAATCATTTATGGTTGTTTCATTTTCCAATTCATTTAAACTAAGATCATTGTTATCCGTTGCTGACGGATCCATTTGGTTATTTTCACTCATTTTGTATAATTTTTCAATTTATATAATTAATATCAAAAACTGTGCGTAATTCTTTTCTAAAATTAAAAAAAAAAAGGTAATTTATTTATAATAATTTGGAGCAATTTCAGTAGAAAGTTTATTAATTGAAGAAAAATTAAATGGATTTTATTGAATTACCTGCAAATATTTAAAAAAAAAATTCTAAATGACCAAATCTAATTAAGTGGCAGCAAGCTCACCTACAGACCATTTTATCTAGTAATGGTCTGTATGTGGGCTTGGTATTACTGCCTCTTAAGTTATGGAGGCTAACTATATCTATTAATATTTATCAATAATTTTTAATTTTGAGTAACTACGTACACTTAAACCTACCCAAAAAATAATTAAAATAAATTCAAAACTTACATTTTTAAATTTGAATTTTCAATTTGTGGCGCTAATACAAAAATTTTGTGCATTTGGACCGCTGGTTCATATTTTTCTTCTTTGATTGGCTTTGTTTTGTTCGATATTAAATTTAATTTTGTAAATATTTTATATTCTTTAAATATTTTATAGTTCCAATGTTTTTTATCAGTTCTATTTGAACATTAAATTAAAACTGAAAGTTTTAAATTATTTTTGAATTCCTTTCAACAAAATAAACTTTTTTGTTGTTCAAGGACATTATCTAAAAATTTTTTTTCAACGATCAATATTAAGCAATTGACACAATTAAATCAGCTGTTATTGTTTATGTTTTTTTTTATATAGAATAAAAACAAATTAGAAACAAATACGTCTATCAGCTGTTGACAATATGCCAAAAATTTATCATATGTAAAATTGAAATTGTTTACAATACAAATTTACGCAAATTGAGAATTAATTTCAAAAATTCAAAATATAAAAATTCACAATATGAATTATTGTTTAATAAATGCATTTTTCATAGTATTTTATGAAAAAAAAATTTTCACAAAATCTTCATAAAGAAACTTTAAAACAGCTTTTTACAAAAAATTTCTATGTAAATTTTTTAGAAGTAAGATGTACACATTGAGTGCTTTTAGTTGTAAAATCCTGAAACCTTTCTCATTTTCGTTCGTAGTTTTTCGTTTCTCCCATATTGAAAACTTCTGTAACATTTTAACAAAAAAAATTGTAACAATTGGTAATACGTTTATACAATTATACAGAATATAATATAATAATAATACAGAATATACATAATTATACAGAATCTCTATATTTAATTATACAGAATATACATAATAAATCATTTTTTAATAACTTAATTTCTCATTTCTATATAAACTCAACCTCAATTTATAAAACACAATTTTGAAAATTGTAAATAGCTAATAAAGTCAACAAAATTGCTTTCAACCCAATAAACATAAATCGAATTTGGCACTTCTCTCGTTTGTTTTGACACTTGAACGACAGAATTGTAAAATTTGTAATATAATTACGTATTTTGTTTTTATTATTTATTCTGTGAAAAATACATAATTGTTTTAATGAATTTAATCAAATTTTTATTTAAAAAATAATTTTATAAGGGTTTTATTTTAAAGATATTTAAATATTCTATACATATGTACAAATAATTCTTTAATGAAATAGAAGTGGCGTAAATGATCCACGTATGTTAAGTACCCTGCATGCCTTATAAGCTTAAAAGTTTGTATAAAAAAATAATATTTGATTTTACTCATTTAATATTTATTTTAGGATATAAAAATTGATTGACATAATGGAAAACCAACTCGTAGAAAATAGTCCAAATAAATTGCTATTACCTGATCAACTTGAAAATTCAGAAGTTCAAGAAATTTTAAAAACTGGAACCGAATTAAGACAATATGCAAGAGAAATAGAAAGAGAATTTAAAAATATTGAAAATAAATCAATTGATGATTATTTAAAAGAAAGTGAAAATATAGCATCATTACATAACCAGATTGGAGAATGTGATTCAATATTAGAACGTATGGAATCGATGTTACAAAATTTTGAAAATGTTTTAAGTAATATAAGCAGTGAAATAACAACATTACAAAAACGTTCAGTTTCAATGTCAGTTCAATTAGCAAATCGGCAATCTGTTAAATCACAGCTTTCTCAATTCATAGAGGATATGGCTGTATCCGACGAAATGATTAATATTATAATGGAAACTTCAGTTACCGAAAAAGATTTCCTTTTACAATTAAACATTTTAAATCATAAATTAAATTTAATAAAAGAATTAAATTTTAAAGAATCAAAAGCATCAAATGACGTTAATCATGTTTTAGAAAAATTAAAAATTAAATCAATTGCAAAAATTCGTCATTATCTACTGGAACAAATTTATAAATTTCGTAAGCCGATGACGAATTATCAAATTCCACAAAATGCCATGCTAAAACATAAATTCTTTTTTGAATTTATTTTATCAAACGAGAGACATGTAGCACAGGAAATATGCAATGAATATATTGATACAATGAGTAAAATTTATTATAGCTATTTTAAGGTTTGTACAATAAAATAAATAATCACCATTTAAATCAGGCAAATCAGTAATAAATGAATTTGTTAATCTAACTTTAACAGAGTTATTCATCGAAATTGAGCGCTTTAAAATTTGAAGAATCAATAACAAAAGAAGATTTAATGGGCATAGAAGGCAATCCTTCAAAAGGTTTATTTGTGAAAACAACATCTTTAAAACATAAAAGTACTATATTCACAATTGGTAATAGAGGGGATGTATTAAATCAACAGCTTGAAGCCCCAATTATTGTCCCACATGCACAACAAAAAAATCGGGTAACTAATAATTTTTTATTTAAAATTTCTGTTTAATTTTTTAAATCAAATTTTTTTTAGTATACATTTGAAGCCCTGTTTCGTTCTGAGCAATATGCTTTGGTTGACAATGCTTGTCGTGAATATTTGTTTGTGACAGAATTTTTTATAGTTCGTGGATCTCAAGCACAAGACTTGTTCAATCAGATATTGGGAAAAACATTGACTCTAATGATTGTAAGATATATAAAATCTAAAAATAAATGTTCCTTTATTCATTAAATTCTACATAAAATTATTTTTCAGAAAAATCTCGAAATTCATATACAAGATTGTTATGACACAATAGCAATGTTCCTTTGTATTCAATTAATATTTCGCTATCAGCTAATGTGTCATAAAAGATGTGTACCAGCTTTGGATAAGTAACTGAAAAAAAAATTATCATTTTACTAAATTGTAATTATAATCACTTTAATTTTAGGTACTGGGACTCCTTACAAGCTGTAATATGGCCTAGATTTGAACAAATTTTTCGTCTTAATATACAAAGTATTAGAGATTGTGATCCAACTAAATTTAGTAAAGAAATGGGACCACATTATGTATACAATAGAATATCTTATAATTATGATTGCTAATTTGGATTTTTTTCTTAGATTACACGTCGATATGCTGAGTTTTCTGCTGCTATTGTTGGAATATCTGAACATTTTCCTAATGAACTTGTGAGTCGTCTTTTAGTTGAATTACAGAATGAAGTTGAATGTTTTATTCTTCGAATGGCTGCTATATTTCCAAATAGGAAAGAGCAATTAATTTATTTAATAAATAATTATGATTTGGTATTGGGTATATTAATGGAACATACAAGAGATAATTCAAAAGAAGCTGAATGTTTTAGAGAGCAACTTACTTCAAGAAGTTCTGAATATATTGAAGAAATTTTAGCTCCACATTTTGGTGGTATAATTCAATTTGTTAAAGAGCATGAACATTTTTTAGAAAAAGAACAATTAGAAGAATTAAAAAAACAAGAGCGTAAAAGTTTAGCATTAGTTGCACATTTTTCAGGAAGTTGGAAAAAGTCTTTAGAGGAATTGAATAGAGAAGTTTTATTATCATTTCCATCTTTATTAACTGGATCCCAATTGTTACAATTGGCTCTAGCAAGTCTGGTACAATATTACCATCGTTTTAATAAATTATTGACTCCAAATGCAAGATCACAATTAACAAATATTCATGTAATAATGGTCGAAATTAAAAAATACAAAAGTAATTATTAAAGTATTTAAAAAAATTTTTGTTGTACTTCTATGATAAAGTTCGAAATATATTGAACTATGTATTGGTATAAAAACTCATACAATTAATTTTGAATTTTCTATTTGAGAAAGTAAATGGTATTCCATAAGAAAAATAAATTTAATTTACCTTGAACTACTAATTTTCTTCTTATAAGAAGTGTCTGCATTGTAATGAAGAACTTCCAGAAATTTTCAATTTTCATGTCAGTAAAAATGAGTCAGAAAACAATTGCGTAAGCGCATGAAATAAAAAGGTAAATATTTTTAAAATATGTTTTCATTTTATGTGAAACTCATATCTAGTCCGTTTATTTGTGTTTTATGAAAATTCATTCTTTTAAGAACTTTTGTAAATAGGAACACTTATTTAATTCAAATTTCCGTTTGTAATGACTATATCAATAGTATTCATGTTTTATAATTAAGTCATGTTTCCTGAAATGTGTTTGCCTCTTTTTCAAAAACATGATTATATTACTAAAATTTCTTATCCAAATCTATTATGAAAAATTAATTATAAATGTTTTATTTTTCATATATTACACCTTTATTCAAATTATTACGATTATTACTCTATTTGCTTTACATATTAAAAAAAATTATTATCAGTAGTTTAATCAATTATAGGTAGATACCTACATCAATATATTATACTTGATACCACATATAATTTATTGTATTTTTTGGTGTTAATGCACACATTTTTTTTTATTTATCTTCAAGCACTTTTCTGTGTTCTTATTCGTCCAATAACAACATTTCAACTAAGTCTTTTTTAGTAACTCTTTCCCCGTCGAGTCTTTGTGGAGATTTCCATCTAAGAAGGGTGGGAAGAAATACTAAATGTGTACGAGGATCTTTTCGGAACGGACAATTTAAATCCTTCCAACTAAAAGCAAAAAATACATTAATTTTGTTTATAATAAAATTTTCATGAATTATTATGATTTATTACTATAACAAAAAATTAATTGCATATCTCTAAATAGATATCATTTTAATTAGATGTGAAATGAGCTTTGAAAAAATATTAAAATTGCTTATCAAACATTCTTTCTACTGATAATATTATTTAATCATCTAATATGATATAATTATGAGATGTTAAGGGAATAATCGCATATTTTAATGAAAATATGTACATTATTGAAAAAAGCGTACATAAAATTTCATCTTTATAAATGATAATTATAAATTACTAATATACTCCTATGAGTCACAAAATGTACTTTTTAAAAAGCTTGTTTAAATCGATTACTTACTATGCTCTTTCGCCAACATCAACATGAACAAAATGGCTAGTTTCTGGAGCACTTTTCAATGCCTCCTCAACAATCGGTTCAGCTAAAACAAACGAAAAATTAATATATAATTTAGGAATGGCGAATGACGATACCTCTCACGCAATAAGGACACCAGCTGTTACCGCTTTCATCCTTTCCACCACTGAACAATACATGAATTGGTTCTTCGGTATTTTCAATTTTTTCCATTAATTTTGTAAATTCTTCATATCCTTTAACATGATGTTGAACAACCATTTTATTTAAATTTCGATTTACTGTACAAATGTCCGAAAATAATCTGCGTATTAAAGCCGTTTTGGTTTCTGTTTTATATTACTTTTTCAATATATAAATTAGTAAGAATAAAAAATAAACACTGTCACACGTGATTGACAACTGTGAAGTTCAAATATGTTATAAAATAATACTTTTCAAAAAAAAGTTGTTTGACAAGTAAAACAACTACATCTCTGAATGAATAGGCACACTACAATGAGAACAATTTAGAATTGTAAGCAAAGTTATTATGGTATTTCTATATAAAATAAATATGCTTAATTTAAGAAAAATATTGTAAATAGATCAATATTGTTTTTTTAAATTTATAGAGAAAATTATAAAGTTAATAAAAATATATCTGAAGGATAAAAAATATACTGTAATCTTTAGTATTTAACTATTTCCCTAATGGAGGACGCAAAAATCGTAAATTCAAATCAGTCATAATAATGACAACAATTTGGAGAAAATAATGACATATTACCAAAAACTTTGTAGAGTTTTGGAACAGAAGCACGCAGTGCTTTAATTTAAAAGTAAATTTGGTTTTTTTACAATCTAATTTATTTATTTTTGAAGGGTAAAATTTCAAAATTTTTTCTTCAATAACTTTTTAAAACAATTTAAAGGATAGCTGAAATATATCTGTTAGGTACGTAAATACATTTATTATTATAATTGAATACCGGATGCATCTTTCAACTAATCGAACTGTCATTCTTTTTTCGGGTACCGCAAAGTAGTAAATTTTTATTGTTTACATCATAAAAATTAATTCTAAATTTAATAATTTATGTAAAATTTTAATATTTAAAGTTTAAAATTTAAGATAAGGATGCCTCCACCGAGACCGAGAGGATTTGCTGGAAGTTCTGGGGGTTCTAATACTAGGCCTGCTCCCAATACTCCAATGTCTGAACGCCAACAAATGGCATTATTAATGCAAATGACTTCGTCGGCAGCTTCGCCATCATCAACATCTAGTTCTGGTAAATATATTACATTGTAATTTTATATTTTTCTATATTAAATTTAATTTTAGAAATGAGTCCAGGCACAATGCATAATTTAGCTAGATCAAGGGATAGAAATGAACGTGGTGAAACATCTTTACATGTAGCAGCTATTAAAGGAGACCAGGATACTGTTAAAAAGTTATTAGAAAGTGGTGTTAGTCCAAATGTTGCTGATTTTGCGGGTATATTTTTAACTAAGAATACTCTTGGAAAAACTATAAAACAAAAATTTTTTTTGTGTTCATATTGTTTTTTTTTTTGCCTTAGGATGGACACCATTACATGAAGCTTGCAATCATGCACATTATAATGTTGCATTAACATTAGTTAAAGCTGGAGCAAATGTAAATGCAAGAGGTTTAGACGATGACACACCATTACATGATGCGGGTAAGTTATGTATAAATAATAATATTGTATACATAATATTTTATTTGAGGTTATGTTAATGTTTATAAACATGAATTAAAAATTTTTTTTTTTTAACTATTTTTAGCTACTATTGGGCATTTAAAATTAGTTAAAATGTTAGTTGAAAAAGGTGCAGATATTAATCTTAAAAATAGAAAGGGTAGAACACCTGTAGATATAGCACATCCTACTGTAGCTTCTTATTTACAAGCAGTTAGAGGTAAGTCAATATTTTTTCTTAAATAAAATTTTTAATTTTTTAAAGAAATGAAGTTTGTAAGATGTTAAATCGTTTGTAGTAAATTATATTAATTTCAATAACTTCCAAATTTAATAAACTTACATGGATAAAATATTATTTTTGGCGAAAAGGTTTAAAGTCATAAACAATTATACCAAATAAAAGTGTTAGAAATTGAAAAAATTAAAGACAATTACATTCAGTTCTATTTAATTAATAGATTCTTTGTTCATTCATAAGAATAAACTAGATTCGTATTTTACATGGGAACTTGCAAATTTTTTATTTTGGTTATAGGATTACATATGTACAACAAAAGGTTAAGTCGAAAAGGAAATACCTATGTTTTCTTAAACCCATTATAGTTTGTTGAATTATTTAAACAAATGACGATATCTTATAATTGAAATTAAATTTTTACTATTACCTTATAATTTGTGCTTTAAATTTTTCTCTTACTTTTATATTTATTATGAACAAGTCTTGTTTTCTTGCCTTTATAAGCCAGTGAATATTTTATTGATTGAAAACAACTCTACTAATTGATAACTAGTACTTAAATCTAAGTTAAAAATTCTATAAAAAATATTTTCTATTTATTTATTCATCTAGTTTTTAATTCTTTTCATAATTTTGTTTATTACAATAAATTGATTTCTTAACAATAATAATTACAATAATTAATAATACGAATAGTAAAACGAAATTAAATAACCTTTATTTAATACAATTTTTATAATATATTTAAATTAAATATATGTAAGATATGTGGGTGTAATGAACACCAAATTAAAATAATTCCAATATTTAAATTTGAAATCGATTATTTATTTGATTATGATTGAAAATTATTATTCAATAATTATTCTGATTAAATAACATGATTTAAAAAGTTATTGAACTCAATTTTATACGGCATTAATGAATTAATAAATAAATACGTATAATTATATAAAATTATATATAATGATTAAAAATATAATATTTACATAGATGTAACGTTCATATTAAAATATTTTTATGCTATCTTTTTATTTTTAATTCTTTATTTATTTAATTTAATTTTTCTCACTCATTTTTCTCATTTACTAATACATAATATTTTGTATTAATAAATAATTTATATTAAATTTTTTCTCTTGAATATATTGCGCATGATTGCTCTATATAAATTATATTTATTTTTTATTTAAAATAAGAATTATTTGTATATAAATTTTATATAGTTAGGTTTAGGTAGCATTTAAATGGAAATCATATAACCATAAAGTATTAAAACTTTAAAAAAAAAGTTTATTTTGTTGCCTTCCTATTGTTATTGTTTATTTTGTCACTATTTTAACTAAATTTTATTATTATTAAAAACTAATTAAATTTTATTTATTTCGTACATAGTTGTTTTTCGTACATTGCCATTTCTACCTACATTGAATGTGAAATAATTTTATAAATTTTTAATTGAAAAGTATTTTTTTTAAAACATAAAAGTTGTTTTTAAGACAAGAATAAAAAAAACAATTTACTTTGTTCTTTATATTTAAAATAAAAGGTGTCACAAAATTTTATGGCGGCTGAGGTTATTATGCTTTCACTAAATTTTTTTTGTTGATAAGTATTGGTTTTCTATAAATCAATTAAAGGACGATTATTTTCTCACATAATTTTAAAGAAGTTTTTTTTTTTTTTGAAAATTTCTTGAAACATTTCAAATTCGCATTTGAAAATGGGTTCAAAATAGGTTTGATTCTATTGTAATATCAAAATTATTTGTAATTAATAAAATAGTAGAAATTTTTGAATATAATTTCCAAATGCCTTTAACAAATTGTACTTAAAGCTTTCATGTACATTTTCATATTAAATCAAACCGAAAAATAAAAACTCAAATTTGGTATTAAACATTTTGGTATTACAAAACATTTATTGTTTTCGTGACTCTCAAAACTATAATAAAATTATATTGTTATATAAGCTGAAGTATATTAATATTTAGTATTACTGTAATTCTGTTGTCAAAATTTTTGCTTTAAAATTTGCTGATTTGATTTAGGGAAAAATTCTCTATACATTACAAATTTCCTGTATGTCTGTGATTGTTCTTAATTAAAGAGATTTCACTGTATTTCATTGTATTTTCATATTATATTTTAAATTTTCGTTTAGTTTAGAATAAGAATATTTTTTTTTAGTTTATATTTTTCAATCTATATTCTTAATAAAATTTTACGCTATTTACCGAATTAAAATTACTTGCACATTATTAATAAAATTTTTATATTAATATGCAATTTTCATAATTCTCACTACTTATTCTGTTATAATTTTATTTTAATAATTATCATGATTTTTATTGATTTCTATAATATAAACTGTGATTTAAATGGAATGAAAAATTTGGTTTTGCGTTATTCCTACTAATCATTTTTGTCCTTTTTTAATCTTTCAATTAAATGAAGTGATTATTTTTGTTTTATATTTTTCTTCATTTACCATAAATGCCTTAATATTAAATATCAAAAAATAAATAGTGAAATAAAAAGGAAAAAAAATAATAAGAATATTCCTATTCTATTTCTATTTGTTATTTATATCGATATATATTGAATTAGATATTTTATAACTTTATAAAACAATAAAAAAAAAATCTGTTGAGTATACACAAATAATAACAGATGTACACTTTCCTTTTAATACACAATCTCTAACCCACAGAATATACACAATTAAACTATAAATCTTATTTTAATAGACATAACCATAAGAATAACAAGAAGAAAATTTAAAATATGCACCTATACATACACTCATACATATATACACACGTACATATATGCTAACAAAACAATATATTATTTACAAATAGAAACTTGCAAAAAACTGTAAATAAATAGATAGAGAAAAAAAAGATACAACAAAGAGAAAACTAAAAAAAAAACATAGGAAAATACTCAAATATAACGGAAAACCGACAAAAATCTACTCAAGAATAAGAAAAGAATATTTTCTAAATTTGAGAAAAATAAAAAAAAAATTAGTTATTTTTTTTAAGTGGAATTGGAAAAAAGAGAGCAACGCTCCAAAATTGCTTTAAAAAATGACTAGACAAGGGAAATTGCTCTCAACCAAAAAATAAAATATCAAAAACACACAAAAGAAAAAAAAGAGTAGAGAAGAATGAATATAATAATTATATAGGTATGTTATGTGAGTGTATGTATGTTTGCATATATTTCAAGTAGTATATATACTACATACTCATATAAATGTACGGATATATTATATACATGTATGTATATTTGGGTGTAAGTACAATATATTTTCATTTTTATTTTTATTTTTTGTAATATTTTCTTTTTTGATTTTTATTTGTTTTGGTCTGGAAGTGATTTTCATGTGGATATTTTTTATTTTTATAATAAAATATACAATATCAGTATGTATGTATATACATACATACTTCTAAATAGAAGTTTTTAATGTATATATACATATATAAGAAGATGATGTATTATGTGCCGAAAGTAGGTAGATATTATAAGAGATATTCTCTTCATAAATACATACATATATGTAAATATGTAGATATATAAACATATGGTAAAAAACAAAACAAACAAAAAACACAACAAAAGAAGAAATGAAAAAACCACAAATACAGGGTGGTAAAAAGGGTAATAAATTAAAAAAATTTTATTATAAATGTACAAAAATACACACAAATTATTTTGTTAATTTAATTAATAAAATTAATGATTTATGAAAATTAGTGGGCTAATGATGATATTAATCAATAGAAATATTTTGTTTTACAAAACTTGTTGTGTTGTGTCAAATAATTTCTGCTATTAGATCCTCTTAAATTTATCTTTCGTTTCGTTTATTCATGAAATATTTCGTGGTTTTTTGATCCTCAATCTATATAAGCCCATTGCATTCTATATGTTTTCCTGAGAATTCTAGATGGCTTTTAATTGTTCGAGAACTTAATAAAGAAAATTTTTCTATCACCTGTGCTATTTAAATTTCTAACTTTCAATTTTTCTCTTATAGTACGAAAACTGATACATATTCAAGTTTAATTCCATTTTTATTAATAGCGCTAATGTAATTAAAAACAAGTTTAGTGGCCGAATATAATATGAAACTGGATGAATTTAATTCTATGACCACCACTGTATGTACACAGGTACAGGTTATCTTTTCATATTATTTAACAGAAACATTTTATCAATAATGATGATAATTTTTTTTTTTTAAATTGATTAATATTGTTTTCTATTTTTTCTTTAATTACCCTGTATAATTTTCTTTTATATATCAAACAACTCATCAACTTATAATAGCCGACTTTTGAACACATATTGTATATCCCTATTATGGTGTTCATTCAAATCGGACATTGCCTTTATTTTCAATTTATAAAAACAAATAAAAAAAAAAAGGAAAAGAAAAATTATAAATAACAAGAGAAAAAAAGGGAAAAAAGAGAAAAAAACAAAAAATACATTGAAGTCATATTTTCTTCACTTATTCTGCTTCTTTTTATCCGTTATTTATTTATTTTTCAATTTTTTTATTGTCCAAATGATGTTACTTTTTTTCTCTGATTCATATATATATAAAAAATATTATGATGTATTAATGAAAAATAAGAATAATTTATATGGGTAACAGTCAATTATATAGGCTGTAGGTACGTATACACTAATCATACCTCAATAGCAAAATTGCACTAATTCGAAAATTGTGATTTCACAGTTTTTTAACATTCCTCACACAGGAAATCACAAGAGTATCTGTAAATATAGAATTTTTATGCAAACGATTAACATTACTCGCAATTTAATTAAATGCAAACAAAAAAATGAAAAGTAAATGAGTGCTACCCCAAAAAGTCGGCAATTTTATTTTTTATATCATTTGAATTAATTTAATTAAATTTCATCAAAATCAATTATTAATTTTTATTTTACTAAAGCAAATCGCATTATAAAATAAATTAATAAATATACAACACATTCAGCTATAATTTACTCCAAAAATTTTT